ACAGACGGACAGACAGATGGGGGTGCTGCGCAGGGTCACACTAGGATTGGAGACACAGATGGACAGACAGACAGGAGGGCTATGTGGCGCCACACCAGGTGGGGGAGCGGCAGAGGAGCACAGTCAGACAGATGGACAGGATGGACATGAGGCAGCAGTGCCAGTGCCCCTGGGGAGATGATGGATGGATGATGGATGGATGGATGGATGGATGGATGGATGGATGGATGGATGGATGGATGGATGGAGCAGGATCATCGGGCTCTGGGAGCACAGAGAGAGGGGGCCATCAGCAACAAGACCCCCCCCTATTTGGGGACCCCAGCCACAGCGCCCCCAGCACCCACACTCAGGGGCTCAGGGGCTGTGGAGCCCTCGCAGAGAAGTGGGATGTGGGGGGCACTGGGGTTCCAGCACTGCCATGGGCCATGGAATGCAGGGGGGTCCCAGCCCCCAGCTCTGGGGGCACAGGGAAGCTCAACCCCATCTCTCAGTGGGGAGGGCAGGGAGTGCAGGGAGGCCTGGCTCATCACCAGCAGGGAGCCAGAGTGACTCTGCTCACACTGCAGGTTTAGGGGGTGTAGGAGAGGTGCAACACTGAGGGTCCAACCAGCAGTGGCAGGGTAAAGGCTCTGGGACACAGGGGGATGCAGCAAGGCAGAGGGGGCTAGGTGTACTGGGGGGCAGAAGAGAAGGATGCTGGGGCAGGCAATGCAGAGGTGCAGCGAGGACATGGGGGGTGCACTGGGAGGGTTGCAGTGGCAGGGCTGCAGTCAGGACTCAGAAGGGTGCAAGGGGGCCCAAGGCACAGTGGGGATATGCTGGGGATGGACCCTGGCAGGGTGCAGAGGGTAAGGGAGGGATGTAGGGGTGCTCAGAGACAGAGTGAGGATGGAGTGGGTGCCAGGGCACAGAGGGTATACTGGGGGTGCAGTGGGGTGGAGGGAGGAAGTGTAATGAGCGTCCCACTTCTGACAGAAGGTGTGCAGGCAGGGATTGGGTTCGGGGGGTGCAGGGGGGACTCAAGAGGGGTTCAGGAGGTCCCGTCTCACAGAAAGCGTGCAGGTAGGGATGGGGTTTGGGAGGATGCAGGGGGCTCAGGGTGGGTTCAGGAGGTCCCACCTTTCGCAGAAGGTGTGCAGGCAGGGCAGCACCTTGGGGTTGCAGTAGCGGTCGAGGCAAATGCTGCAGATCAGGAACTGTTGGTCAATCTGCCGCACCACCGGGCTGGCGGGCTCATGGCGGGCCATGGTGGCTCCTCAGCCTGGGAGGCACACCACAGTGAGGGGCAGGGACCCTGCAACCCCCCATGTTGCTCTGTGGCACCCCAAAGCCACTCCCAGCCCCAACCCACTGTGCCACACCACCCCCACCCACCCCACAGGCTCACAGTGGGTCGTGGCAGACCCTCGGCCTGAGAATGGGGCGGTGGGGAATTTAAATGCGTGGAAGGTACCACGTGGCACCCTGCAGCCCACCACTCAACCCACGATGCCCCACAGCCCCCCGCCCACCCCACAGCCTCACAGAGAGCCATATCGGACACTCACCCTGTGGCACGAGGGCTCAGCACCCTGGGGCGCCCACAGCCCCGACCCAAGGCACCCACAGCACCCACCCCAAGGCATCCCACAGTACCTGGCCCCACAGACACCTTGTGGGGCACACACGGGGACTCCCCACGGCCCCCACCATGCCCATGACCCCCGGGCATCCAAAGCCAGCTCCACACGTGTCCCCCAGCTTCACACAGCACCCTGCCCCACGGTACCACCCCCCCTAGCCCCCTGTTCCTCGGCACCCACTCATCCCACGGCCCCCACTGCTTGTGCCCCTCAGAACCCGCCCCCCATCCCTGGTAACCAATCTTCTGCCCCACAGGGCACCCACAGCACCCACCCTCCTGCCCCACGGGGCACACCCCAACCCCACCACCCTCCTCCTGAGCCCCCCAGCACCCACCCAACCCCCTATCCCATGGGACACTCATCACCCCTCGTCCCCTGTGCCCCACAGACCCCCCCACCGCCCCCTGTCCCTCGCTCCCCGCGCCCCACAGCTCCCCGTAGCCCATCACCCTCTGTCCCTCGCCCCCTCCCCTCACTCCGGCCCCGCTCCGGGCGCTGCGGCGGCTCCGCGCTCCAGGCCCCGGCCCCGCCCCGGCCGCCATTGTGCGGCACCGCCCCCCCCGCGGCACCGGCCCACGGCGGGGCCCGGGGGTCCCGTACCCCGCGGCCCCCGCGGGGGTCTCTGCCCCCACTAATCCCACCCCGCACGGCCTTTACACGCCCCACGCCCCACGCGTGGCCTCCCGCGCTCAGCACCCCCGCGCCGGGCCCAGCAGGACCCCCGGGCCGCACTCACCCGCCCCGCAGCCCCCTCCTCGCTCCAGCCCGCGCCGCGGGACCCCACGGCGCATCCTCGGCCCCGGCCCGGGATGCGACAGGGAGGCGGCCGGGCCGGGCGGCACCAAGCGCGCTCCGGAGGGGGAGGTTAAACGTGCCGCCGCTTCCCTGTTTTGCGGAACCAGCCCCTGAGGACACCCCGCTCGGGGCTGGCGAGGCGACGCTGCAGGACGCCTTGCCGCCCCGAACTGGGGGGCTCGCGGGGAGGGTCCCGTTGGAAAGCGGGTAAAGTGACCCCTCGGCCCCCCCTCCCAACATCAGTGGTTTCGCCTGGGCTGTGGCTCTGCAGCTGGGGGGGGGCTCCGCGCATCCAGGGGTACCCGGCTGTTGCCACGGCAACCACATCCCGACCCCGAATTTGGGGGGCTTGACCCCAGATTGGAGGGGGAATAGGACTGGGGCATGTGGGCACACACTGGTGGGTGGGGGTATGGCGGGG